ATGCCAGACAGTCCAGTTTCTCCTGTATGAGTCTGGGTCCCCAGAGACTCGCCCGGAACTGGAGTTCAGAGCAGTCAGGAGCTTGAGACTCCCTTCCAATTGAAAAAGACAACCGCGTCCTCAGCTGCCATCCGTTTCCACATGCGCCTCCGTACCTCTGCACTTTACTTCCACACCTCCTCTGAGTCTCAGTGTGCTTTTCTCTTTCCTTTTAGTTGTAGAATTTCCACTCAGCCAGCCTTCCTGTGGTTCTGGACGGTGTCGGTTTTGTCTTTTGGTTGTATTTTTGAACTTGTTGTGCGAGGCAGCAATTTCTGGTGTTTACCTATGCCGCCATCTTGGTTTCTCAGTCAAAACAATATGTAATTATATATGTGTTTTCCAGTGGTTTTAGGCGACCCCTGTGAAAGGGTCATTTGACCCCCAAAGGGGTCGCGACCCACAGGTTGAGAACCGCTGCTCTAGATGGTAACTGTGGCTTTTATTTCTATATATTTTTCAGTGGGGTTATTATTGGGTACACTATTGTCAGTTTGGATTTTTTTTAAATAGATATTTATTCAGATTATTACAGATGTTCCTCTTTTTTCCCCCCATAGCTCCCCTCCACCTGGTTCCCACCCCACCCCTGCCCTTACCGCCCCCCCTCACTGTCGTCATCCATAGGTGTAAGATTTTTGTCCAATCTCTACCCGCACCCCTCACACTTCCCTCCCCCTGAGAATTGTCAGTCCATTGCTTCTATTTTTTTTTTTTATGCCCCTGCTTCTATTACATTCACCGGTTTATTCTGTTCATCAGATTTTTTTTAATTGACTTAATTTTTAGATTCACTTGTTGATAGATATGTATTTGTTGTTGCTTTGTTGTTCATAATTTTTATCTTTACCTTTTTCTTCTTCTTCCTCTTCTTAAAAAATACCCTTCAGCATTTCATATAATCCTGGTTTGGTGGTGATGAACTCGTTTAGCATTTTCTTGTCTCTGAAGCTCTTTATCTGACCTTCAATTCTACATGATAGCTTTGCTGGGTAGAGTAATCTTGGTTGTAGGTTCTTGCTATTCATCACTTTGAATATTTCTTGCAACTCCCTTCTGGCCTGCATGGTTTCTGTTGAGAAATCAGCTGACAGTCGTATGGGTACTCCCTTGTAGGTAACTAACTGTTTTCTTTTGCTGCTTTTAAGATTCTCTCTTTGGCCCTGGCCGGTTTGGCTCACTGGATGGAGTGTTGGCCTGGGGACTGAGGTGTCCCGGGTTCGATTCCGGTTGGGGGCATGTGCCTTGGTTGCGGGCACATCCCCAGTGGGGGGGGTGCGGAAGGCAGATAATCAGTGATTCTCTTTCATTGATGTTTCTGGCTCTCTATCCCTCTCCCTTCCTCTCTGTAGAAAATCAATAGAATATATTTTTTTAAAAAAAAGATTCTCTCTTTGTCTTTTGCCCTTTGCATTTTAATTATGAT